TGGGTTTGATCCACCAGTGCACTGCAGACTGTTTTCATGCCTATTAGAAAAAGCCCTTTAATGACACGTCGCTTCAGGATGCTCACAAGTCACTTCAAGTGTCTGTAGTCTTTGAGAGGCGAGTCTGACTCGAATCTCGAGTCTTTAAATTTCAGCTTAGTCTTGTTATTAGCTGAAGGCATTGCATTCTACAAAAGACAACTCCAATTAAAAACCTGTCAATGTTTCGAGTTGTTTTGCCTCCTTCCTTTAAGTACTGCTTTGACTGCATGTAGCGCTTCATTCTGTCATTCAGCCTTAAGATTTCTCTGTTTTAAAGGCTCATTATTTGAGGTCGTATTGAACCTGATGCTGCAGTGAGCTGAGTTAGAACACCATTGCAGTAAAGACGGTGCATGACTGTAACTAAACTGATGGGCAGATTCAAACACACCTGGTTGGAAACTTAAGGTTTTATTAATTTACTCCACACTTAAAAAGATCACTGAACACTCGAAGAACCCTTTGCATGATTAAAGGGTCTTTTCTCCAGATTGATGGAGAATGTGCTGTAAATGGATCTATGTAGAAACGTTTCGGAAAGGGTTCTGTATAGTATCAAAAAGGGGTTCTTCTATTGGTACAAGCTTGACATCGCAACAATAGCAGAACCCTTTTCAAATAGATTCTATATAGAACCATATACAAAACGTTCTCCATCAATCTGAAGAACCATTTTACCGTGCAAAGAACCATGCAGTAGTTTTAGATCAGTTTGAGTAATCTAGAGCAGAGAAGGGGACTCAAGTCAGCAAACCTGATTGAATTGGGACCACCAACTTTAATACACACATTCAAAATTATGGTTCTTCAAGGGTGCTTTAGTAAAGAAAATGGTTCTATGTAGAACCATGAACACTCAAAGAACCCATGAGTAAAGGGGTTCTTTGCATTGTGGGTTCTTCAGATTGATGGAGAATATGTTGTATATGGTTCTATATAGAACCTATCTGAAAAGTGTTCTTCTATTGTTGCAATGTCAAGCTTGTAACTATAGCAGAACCCTTTTTGCTAACGCATTGTATAAGTGGTAATGGTTCTATATAGAACCCCCGAAAAACCACCTTTTTTAGTGTGTGTATTAAGGTTGGCAGTCCCAATTTAATCAGCTTTGTTTGTGTTTTTTTTTCCTTGGGCTAAAAGTCTTAAGTCCGTGTCAAGTCATGAGTCACTTAGGCGTCCAAGTCACTGACTCGAGTCCCCTTTTCTGCTCTAGATTACTCAACCTGATCTATAACTATTGCATTTGTGGCATGCAGCCCATTTTAGTACATTTCCCTGTTATTACTATGAAAAACAGAAAGACTAGGAACTCACTTATTAAAGTTTATTCATTTATTATTATTTAGAGTAAAACACATTTAAAGGGGAATTCCACCATTTAAAAAAATGTGCATGATTAAATTATGATGTAAACACTGTCAATCAGAGTAGTTTGATGTAAAATGTTCTGTTCTGGATAAACGTGCTAAGTCAGAATAATTTACAATGGTGGTGATAGGAACCAGACGTCTGAAGAGTTTGACGCCTCTATAAGCCACATCACAGAAATTTATAGCATGAAATGGTTATAAATTTGCTGCCTGTCTTACACGCTGTTTTATGATAGTTTTGAGATAAAAGTTTTATTATGAATAAAATTACACATAAATACTCAGAAGACATGTGTAAGTTTGCTGCTTAAATTGGATAGTAAATTAAAAATAACAGACATATTTTGCATATAAACAATTTTCACATAATTAGTAGATCAATTTGAGTTACATGTTTGTTTTAATTTAATTTAATTTAATAATAATAATAATAATAATAATAATAATAATAATAATAATAATAATAATAATAATAATAAAAAAAGAAACAAGTAATTTTTGTGGTACAGACTCTGTGACCCCTGGTTCCCATCACCAGCACTGTAAGGAAATCTATTTGGTCATCTTGGATCAGCTCGAATCTTCGTTCACTCCAAAACCTATGGGACTTGTGTTTGGGGGCCATCTGTGGCCTAACTAGCCGAGGGTGTGAGGTGTTGGCAGATGCCAGGCATGATCAGTCGATCTCTGAGCATCATGCTGAGTGGGGTGGATTGGGTGAGAGCTGAGAAGCCATAGCTAGACTGGATGTGTGAAGGGCTGTAGAGAGTTCATGAGTGAGGGTATGAGATGGTAATGCTGGCTGGGTCAGTGATGGGGCTTAGTGGCTTGGCTCTCCTGTGCGGAGTATCGATGTCCTCTCCACTGCGTTTCACCTGCAGTCTCTTGGTGGGCTCTGTGGACATGCCTGAGCAAGCACGATTGGGGGGTAGCACGCCTCACTGGGCAGCAGCTGGAACACTGTGTGCCTCTATCACCCCACATTAGAGAGAGAGAGAGAGAGAGAGAGAGAGAGAGAGAGAGAATGATTTGTACTCATTCGCTTCAACTCATTTGTCTGCACAGTACCAGTCAAAAGTTTTGAGTCACTTGTAATACTGATTGGAAATGATTAAAAACATACACTACATGGTTAAAAGTATGTAGACATATGACCATCATATATGAGCTTGTTGGACATATTCTAAAACAATGGCCATTAATGTGGAGTTGCCCCGATTTTGTAGCTGTAACAGCTTCCACTCCTCTGAGAAGGCTTTCCACAAGATTTTGGAGTTTGTCTGGGAACTTATGCCCATTCAGTCAAAAGAGCATTTGTGAGGTCAGGCACTGATGTTGGAGAAGGCCTGGCTTATAATTGACATTTCAGTTCATCCCAACAGTGTTCAGTAGGGTTGAGGTCAGGGTTCTGTGCAGGCCACTGGAGTTCCTCCACATCAAACCATGTCTTTGTGAAACTCTGGGGCTCAGTCATGCTGGAACAGGAAAGGACTTTCCTCAAACTGTTGTCGCAAATTCGGAAGCATATAATTGCCCAAAATGTCTTTGTGTGCTGTAGCATTAACATTATCCTTCACTGGGACTAAGAGACCCAAACCCTGTAAACCAGCCCCAGACCATTATCCCTCCTCCACCAAACTTTACTGTTGTCACTATGCAATCTGGTAGGTCGCGTTCTCCTGGCATCCACCAAATCCATATTCATCCATCAGGCTGCTAGATAGAGAAGCATAATTCTTCACTCTAGAGAACCTGTTTCCACTGCTCCAGAGTCAAGTGGCAGCTTTCTCAATCAATTTCTATCTAAACTTTTTTAATTTGAAACCTGTGAAGTTGCACAGAACTTGAATTACATTTATCTGAAACTACGCTGGGGTAATTCTTGTGAAACATGACAAATACTTCAAACCTATCCTAAAAAAACAAAATAGAAAAATGAAACGTAATATTTTTCTTTTTCTGGTAACACAAACAGCACAAACAGCCTGGTTGAATGACTATGTACTGTTGTTATAGTAAGAATTTAAGAAGAATAAGCTAAATATTATAATTAGTTTTTTATAGTATTTGGAATTTTATATTATTGCTGTAACACTGACAGCCAGGTTTTTAGTTTTACATATAGCATTTTGTTGTTTTGAATTACCTCATTAGAGTTTACAAAGACACATTTATGGTTAAGGGATTCAACAGTTAAAAGCAATACAGAAAATGAATACATCAGAAACAAGCTGTTCAGTCTACCACAGTTGCCTAGTCTACCACAGTCCAGACTCAGATCTGCATAAAAACACATCACTGTGAATCCTCCTCTTCATCCCAGCTCTCTTTCTAAAGCACACTGTGTTGACCCCCCCCAATAAAATTATCAAATACAAACAGCCCAATTAACTAGATTGCTTTGAATATCTTAAGTGCTAGTGTTCTTATTACTAACACACAAGGGAGGCACCAAAAGGCCTGCTAAGCTCACGCTTTAATCTGCAAAGCACTTTTTAATGCTAACACATAATTAATAATACACATGCAGGGTTTTTGTAGCTCCGCTGTGGCGGTCTGGTATTTAAAGAAGCAGCTTTTTCTCTTCTCCTTGCTTGCCAAAAATGCCAGTGAAGCGAGGCAAAATAATGTTTAATGAAATTGCACTTCCTGATTAAGTGCTTGTACTAAAGGCCCAGAGGCAGATACAAATCTAAAAGAAACAGCGTACATGTGTGAGTGTGTATGAGAAGGAAAATGTTTAAGGGGTAGGAAGTTCCTAAAATAAACTTATAAACCCTATTATATTATAGGTTTATTTCATTTTCTATATGTACCATGTAGGTGCACTTTATAGTACTACAGTTACAAACTGTAGTCCATCTCTTTCTCTGCATACTTTATTAGCCCACTTTTACCCTGTTTTTCAGTGCTCAGGGCCCCCACAGGACCACCACAGTGCAGGTATTATTATGGTGGTGGATCATTCTCAGCACTGCAGTGACACTAACTTCAGCAGCACTGTTGTGTCCGATCCACTCGTAGCAGCGCAACACACACTAACACACCACCACCATGTCAGTGTTACTGCAGTGCTGAGAATGACCCACCACCCACATAGTACCTGCTCTGTGAGGGTCCATGGGGGTCCTGACCACTGAAGAACAGGGTAAAAGTGGGCTAACAAAGTATGCAGAGAAACAGATGGACTACAGTCTGTAATTGTAGAACTACAAAATGCACCTATATAGTAAGTGGAGCTGATAAAATGGACAATGAGCGTAGAAACAAGGAGGTGATCATAATGTTATGCCTGATCAGTGTATAAGAGGACCTGAACAAATAGAAATAGAACAGAACAGCAAGAACAACAAATAAAACAGAAAGTGACCAGTGGTGCTGCCAACATAATGAATGATGAATGAATGAATGTTGTGTGTATGAGAGACAGAGAGAGAGAGATAGAGAGAGATGTGGTGGGTTTGTTTCAGGAAGGGCAGTGAATTCAATCTGTATTCATTTTCAGTGTCACAGAAAGTGCAGGAGAGAACTATACATGTTCTGGTGTTGAGGACTGTCTGAGAATGAGTTGTCTGTGGTTGTGTGCAGGAGAACCTGTGGCTGGACAGTGTGTCTCTGCTGATTAAGGATTCTCTGGAGGGAGAGATGCAGATGATTGATAACCTGTCAGGATCTGTGTTTCATCATTACTCCTCACCTGCTGTGTGTCGAGACTGCAGGTGCCATCCAGCAGAGGTAACACATACACACACACACACACACACACACACACACTGCTCACAGTGCTGTTCACACTGGAAGAGGTCATCAAATTACTATTATTATTATTATTATTATTATTATTAAACTTTGTTGATCCTACAGGGGAAAGTGTTCCTTTTTCTGCTTTACTAATCTCAGTCTGCTTTCACAGAATAATGGAGTACTTCAGTGTAAAGTCTAATTTACACAGTTTTCCCCTTATAATCAACAGCCAAGCCGGGAAATTTCTAGTGTCCAAAGTTTGCTTCTTTATTTTTGTCCTGGAGCTCTGAGACATCCTGATAGCTGTAATGTTACATTGCATAGACAAAAAGCCAATAATTCATATGAACTTTTGTCTGGTTTTATACAGTGAGTTGTTAAAATACAGACACTTTTGTTATTTAATATGCTTCCACTGCATATGTTCACTTCATATTTACACAATATCTTCTGATGTTGCATATAATGTCTTTTGTCTACAGTAAGAAGTAATAGGCTATTGGCAGCATTGTGGTTCAGTTTTGGCTCATTTCTCCTGGCTCACCATCTTCAGTTCTCCAAGGTTACAAGGGTTCCTCAATTTACTGTACATTTTCAGTGAATTTCAAGAAAGGAGACTCGTTGGGCCATGCAAACACCTTCACCTTCTTTTTCAGAGAGTTATTTGGATGTGTGTTTGGGGTTGTCTTCCTCCTAGATTCAGATTCTTGGCCGACGAGATTAAATTCTCCTCTAATATGTATCTGTGCTTGTAATATTATGATGCTTCCACTTCCATACTTCACTGGGAGTATGGTATTCTTCAAAAAACATATGAATAAATAAATAAAAATATAAAAATAAGATGCACAGGCAAATGGTAATCATCTATTATCTCCGCTAACATTACTATCCTGGTCACATTGTAACTGTGTAGATCCTATTCTTATCTAAGGACAAATCCCAAATAGGAAAACATTGGTCAATGTCAGAATCTTTTCAGAAGAAATTTCATCTTAAGAACAGTTTGAACACTTAAGAACAGATAAATGAGGCCCAGTGAATTTGTGAAGTTATTAAGCTAATAACCAAATTGATAAATCAGTAAATTCTGTATAAACTTTAATTCCTTTAAATCTATACAAATACAGTGTGTTTAGACAAATACCCTTCTGCAGTACTTCCTATGCACTATAGCTGTGCTCTGTTCTGTGTGTGTTTTCTGGGGTGCGATAGCCTTTAGATGGCTGCAGTAGTCTTTCTGAGCTTCCTTCTTTCGGCTAAATGTATAATAATGTCTGCCCAAAACATTAAGCTCTTCACTGCCCTCTAATGGAGTGCAGTGTTCAGACATTCTTAAATATGAGAGCCTATAATGTTACAGAGAAGGTTGATTTCTTATCAAAAACTCTAATTTGCTGTTTTATTTTTTTTAAACTTCTTGACTATACGAAAAATTCAGACTCATCCCCATAAGCCTCCATTCCTTTTCCAAAACTGCTGAAGAAAACTTCAACTACATTTGGTGTAAGCTGAAAATACTATAAACTATTCTTGTCCTGGCTGGAAAAAAAACTAATGTTACAGTGATGTAATAACAGTATTGTTTGAGTGAAATTCTGCCATCACATTGTTTTCATTGAGTCCTGGTTCTACAATGTTATCTGGAAAAGAAAAATAGCGAAATGTAGTGGGTTCTACTTCCTTACTACCCAAGCAAGAGGACAAAAGCTTGAGTGACAGCATTATATACCTGTGCCCATCAGTTCATTTTTGGATGAGGCCAGTTTCCTTGTGTCCATCCGTCCATTTCAGATCAAGCTTGTGCAGTTATCCCCTTCAGTACAGAGACTTGACAGGCCTGTATTTTCTTTCTTTGTCTTCCTGAAAAAGGATAGACTGATGTAAGTCTGGGTGATATGATGATACGATATCATTATTACAATAACATATGATCACTGATAAGCTTTTCTGAGCAAACCATGGATGTCGAGCACTGACCAACTCCATGTTTTGTTAAAAAGAGGGGTAGCAGGGGCTTCTAAGGGGCCTATCTGTCGATGGTTTCATCCTAATGTCAGGAGGTTCATATCCAGTGAATGTCAAGAGTTTAAGACAGCAGAGTCTTTTTAATTGGAAGTAGTGATGCACAGTTTGTGTTCAGAATGTTTTTAATCACAAATGTGAGCACTGTACAGTTCTGTTTAATCTGACTTATCACGCTGCCACCAAATTAAGAAAAACTAACTTAGTGCCTGAAAAAGTACTTGACGTCCTCTGTTTTTGTGTACTTGTCACAGTAAATGGTTTGAGATTTGCATACAAATTATAACATCCCACCCATGTGAAAAAGTAATTGCCCCCTAAGCTCAATAACTGGCTGTGGCACCTTCAGCAACAATTGCAACCAAATGCTTCCTATTCCTAGAGATCAGTCTTTCACATCGCTGTGGAGGAATTTTGACCCACTTTGCTTTAATTCAGACACATTGGAGGACATTTGAGCATGGACTGCCCGTGTAGGTCTCGTCAAAGTACGGACCATTAGGAAAAATGTATTTTGTTTCTTTTAAACCATTGATTGCCTTACTTAATTGTGCCTGAGCTTCAGATGATGAACTGATGAGCAGACATTCCTCTGCAGAATTTTCTGATAGACACCAAAATTCATAGCTCTGTCAATTATGGCAAGTTTTCCAGGCCTTGAAGCAGCTAATCATTCCCACCTTGTCACACTACCACCACCATGTCTCTTGGTGTGGAAGGCTGTGTTGTGTGATGTGAACGCTGACCTTATCTGAGGAAAGCGAGGCCTGCAGTTCCTTAGATGTTCTGGGTTATTTTGTGACGTCCTGGATGAGTCACCGCTTTGCTCTTGGAGGAATTTTGTTAGACCAGCCACTTCTGTGCAGATTCACTACTCTTCCAAGCTTTTACTATTTACATAAATAAATTTAATAACTCTCGCTGCAGTTCGCCAGAATCTCAGAGCCTTAGACATGGCTTTGTAACCCTTTCCAGACTAATATATATATTGATAACTTTCGTTCTCATGTCTTCCATCAAACTTAATAGCCTTTTTCTTATTGTATATTTAATTTTTCTTCATGGATTCTTCAATATTGCCCACACAAAGCAGATGACAGTTTAGTGGGAGAACAAGCGCCTTCAAGCACAAACTTCATACTCCACGACCCGTGACTTCACTGCACTTCATTTTTCTCTCTGTGTCAACCATATGAACAGCCAGAGCCCGCCTGCTAAACGTAGCTATCAGTTCCTTTTTCACACATGTACAGTATATGCTCTGCCTACATCATGACATTTCACACGGAAGCTGGACATATGAGTCACACTGGGAAATATGCAAATGCATGCAGATCCTATGGCAATTAGCATAAGTTCTTAGTCTTCCTTCTATCTGTGCTTCCATATGTTAGCAGAGGAAGGAGAAGGGCAAAGATATCCACTCCAGCTCTGGCAGCTTGAGCCAGTCCTGTGAGACTATGATCAGTCTGTATAATGATGCTGTATCACAAATGATATATAGACAAAATGTTTTTGTAAGACAAAATTAAGACCACAATTTGTATTCCGGATGGGAAGAAATCTTAAAACCCCAGTGTAAACCACTCATAGAACAGAAGAGTGTTTTGTTCTTACACAGATTGAACCTGGATCTTGCCAGATTCTTTGCTTAACCCCCTAAGGTCCCTCAAGGCAAATATGCCATGAAACCCTCATCGCACATTTTAATTATTTCTCAGTTGTAGCTCATTGAAGAAAGCAGCAAACTTCTATGGGAAGTGCAGATTCTATGCTTTCAATCCATTTGTGTTTATAAATAGAAGAGAAGATATTTTATCATGATTTTAAATTAAGCTATGACCGTATGTTTTTAAGTTATGACCATATGACTCTCCTTTTTGTACCGAACGTGTTGTTTCTTCATCAGATCCGATTGGCTGAAGTGGAGCAGGCCTCCCTGATGTCAGAGCAGCTTTCAGACAAGTCGTCATCGCCAGTGCTGCCTGATGACCTCAGCCTCGATGACCACAGCGTTTATCAGCTCTTGGTTAGAGACAGCAAGGTGACTTTGTGTAATTATTTTCCTCTTATTCACACAACTAGTGTCTAGATCCATTGCCAATAATATTGGTCAGTGCAGATCAGTATCTGCAAAATATCACAATAACACGCTGATAATTAGCGACTTTTATTTATGCAGTTCCACCAGGATTCAAACTCACATTAATAGGGAGAAAACTAAGGCAGTTGTGACACTGGGGAACTTAATGAGTCATGCACTGGTTAACTATAGTACTGTGTAAAAGTCAAAGACCACTCTTTCATTTACATAATTTCCAGTCAAAATGGTCATTAAGTGCAAGTTATTTATTTTTTAGGGGATATTTCTGAGAATGTTAGACATAAGATAATCCACTTGTATAAGTAAAAGTAAAGTCAAAGGAAAATAAGTGAAAACAGAAGTTTCTGAAACAGATGTTCAAAAAAAGGATTTAAAGAAACAGAGAAAATGGGACCTAACAACCACCTGTAACACCTGGTAGACCACAAAAACTCCCCATCAGATAAACAGCACTTAAAGCTTTCATCTTTGAAGAAAAATCCGATCAGATCTGAAAAATCCACAGGTTGTTCTGTCCATCCTTCCACTGTGAGAACACAACTCACTTCTTTGAGTCTGAGCCTAAAGATGCCATTACTTAGGAAATTAAATAGACAACAATTTGCAGCAAGAAGCAACCAGTGTTCTCAGAACAATGGACTGACCACCCCAGAGTCCAGAACTCATCATTACTGAATGTGTTTGGGATTACTCATTCGGATTGTGAGAAAATGCAACCAACTTCTAAGACTGAAACCAAAGCCTCAAAGAATTCTGGGTAGCTCCATTTTATTTGTATTATTTAACACTGAATGTTTCTGCTGTTTTGAGAGTTTGAGATATGTGATCATTGAGAATCAACAATCATGTAAGTCAGTAAAGCTAACTTAAACTGCTGAAGTATAAAGTTACAGTCCAAAATTCTGCTGATATGATCGATTATTGGAATTTTATCCCCCTAAATTTGGTATTGGTTTTACCCATAAAATCAATAGTTCCCTAATATTATAGTATTATAATCCCTAATATTAAAACACTGTATCTTTGAAAGACATTATGGAATTCTGTTTATCCATTTATGATGAAATGCTCACATAAGGTAAAGGGAAACTAATAAATTAAAAAAGAAAAAAAAAATTGAGTTAAGAGGTTTTTATATGACAACGATGATGTGCACACACTTATTCACAAACCCACAGGAAAGTTACAGACATGTTTAGATGTCCAAGAATGTCATCTTTGGCCCCAAAGGACGCCACACTGGCTGCAGATTGTTCATTGCTTAATCCTAATTTGCATGTTTCAGTACCTAATTAGCTAATCAATGCATGCTTAACTACCCAAATACGCAATCAGTCTTTCTGGAACTGGTGTATTCTTTGCGCTTTTGGGCCTGTCAAGCCAGCTGCTGATGGCCAATTGTCAAATCTCCTCTGACTCACTGTTTTTTTTTTCCACTGAATCACAGCTAATTTGATATCCACTTCATAACAATAAGAATCAAATGAGCCCTCTGAAGCTCATAATTATTTTTCTCAATTCATTATTGATATTCTGTGTTCTGTGGGCTTGAGGGAGACATGGAATCGAATACTAAGGGAACGAATCGGCGAAAAACAGCGCGGCCTTTAAAAATGCATTATAGATTCAGTTCCGCTGGGATACAAAACTGACAGCGTTAGAATGCTAATGTGTTAGAGTAAGACTAACAGACAGAGAGTGATGATATAGCTTAGTGTAAGACAGGCTTTAATTTGCCATGAGCTGCCTTCAGGCAGACCCTAACTGATCATTTTTAGACCTTATGCGAATTAGCAAATGGCTGAATGCTAACTCAGTGCTAGCAAACCTCCACGACACATGGCCAGCTAAACATGCAGGAAGTGAGGTTAACCGATATCGCCTTCAGATAATGCCAACCCAGTGCTAATCACTGCCGAATATTAATATGTGTGACCTTTTAGCCTTGCTGTTCTGAATGATAATGTTTATTAGCATCTGTGCTAACACGGCTCCGCTCACTCTGCAGGAGGAGAGAGGAAGCAGCGGGTCTCAGAGTTTAGAGGAGCTTCAGAGCGCACCAGGGGAATCCAGGGGGTCCTGTGCTCACAGCAGAGCCCACAGCCCAGCCAGTGAAGGTGGGGACAGGTTGCTTGAGCTGGACCACCAAGAGCAGAAAGAAGCAGCTTCTCATCAGCACATGCCATCTCACAGTCAAGGTCAGCATCAACTTTTGCATGCACTGGCATATGCCTCAGATATTTAGGTCACAGAAGGTCACAGACATGCTTAGGTGTCCAACAATGCCATCCTTTGCCTCAAGGGGTGCCACCCTGGCTGCTAATTATTGCTTAATTAATCTTAATTTGCATGTTTCAGTACCTGATTAGCTAATCAATGCATGCTTAACTACCTAAATGTGAAATTAGCCTTCCAGTACTCATGTATTCTTTGTGCTTTTGGGCCTTTTAGGCCAGCTGCTGATGGCCAAGCTTTATAGTACCTATAATATTTTAATAACAGGGCACAAAAAGATTCTATTTTTGCCTTTTAATGTACACTTTTCCTTTAATAACAGGTTTCTCAGTCCTGTCCTGATGAGCAAACAAGAATGAAAATTAATTTTTTATATGTCACACTTTCACTAGTGTTCAAATCACTTGTCATATTAATTATTAATCATTGTTTTTATTTTGTTCAATAATGTTTTCAAACCATATAGACTGAAATGCTGTAAGCTAGACACCAGAATACGTTTAAGATGTTTTATTCCATATTTTACGTTTTTTTGGGAAATGCTCTTCTCTAGAGAAACTTACTAAGTCAGAATTGTTTGCAGTGGTGGTAATAGGAACCAGACATCTAAAGAGTTTAATGCTTCTAATATGTAGACTCCAAAGAAAATGTTTTGTTTTTTCATATTTTCCACTATTTTATCATCACCAGCATCACATTTGAAAACTGAGAGGATACATGTGTATTGTGACAGAATGAGTCAGACACGTTCAGATAAAAAAGGCAAATGAGGCTTTACTAGTTGAATCGCTTTCCAGAGTCGTTGTCAAAAAAACATACAAGGTCAGATCCAAGTGAAATCCAGAAAAGTGACAAAATGTACAAGAAGAAAAATGTAACACCAGGCAGACAAAATCCATAAAAGGGCAGGCTAAAGGCAAAGTCAAAAATACAGAAAATAGGTCAGAACCAGAAACAAACATATAACCCCATTTTCAAAAAAGTTGGGACGCTGTGTAGAATGTAAATAAAAATAGAATGCAATGATGTGCAAATCATGTAAACCATATTTTTAAAGGAAATTAGTACAAAGACAACAAATCAAATGTTGAAACAAAGAAATGTTATTGTTTTTGGAAAAATATATGCCCATTTTGAATTTGATGCCAACAACACGTTCCAAAAAAGCTGGGACGAGGGCATGTTTACCACTGTGTTACATCACCTCTTCTTTTAACATCACTCTGTAAGCGTTTGGGAACTGAGGACACCAACTGCTGTAGTTTTGAAAGTAAAAATGTTTTCTCGTTCTTGTGTGATACAGCATTTCAGCTGCTAAACAGTTCAGGGTCTCCTTTGTCGTACTTTTCATTTCATAATGAGGCAAATGTTTTCAGTGGTGACAGATATGGACTTCAGGCAGGACAGTTTTGTTTGGCACCCGGACTCTTAATACGGAGCAATGCTGTTGTAACACGGCAGAATATGGTTTGGCATTGTCTTGCTGAAATAAGCAAGTCTTCCCTGAAAAAGAAGTCATCTGGATGGCAGCATATGTTGCCAAAGCATGTATATATCATTCAGCATTAATGGTGCCTTCACAGATGTGCATGTCACTCATGCCATGTGCACTAATGCCCCCTATACCATCATGAATACTGGCTTTTGAACTGTGCACTGATAACAAGCTGAGTGGTTTTAAGCCCAGAGGACACCACGTTCATGATTTCCAAAAAGAATTTCAAATGTTGATTTGTTGGACCACAGGACGCTTTTCCACTTCCTCTCAGTCCATCTTAAATGAGCTCAGGGACAGAGAAGGCGGTGGTGTTCCTGGAACCTGTTTATATATGGTTTCTTCTATGTGTTTAGGAGTTTTTATTAGCATTTGTGGAGGCAGCGACAAACTGTTTTCACAGACAGTGCTTTTCAGAATTTTATCTGAGCACATGTAGTGATTTTCACTACAGAATCATGTCTATTTTTAATGCAGTGCCGCCTCAGGGCCCAAAGATCATCACCAGCAAATACTGGTTTTTGGTCTTGTCCCTTGCGTACAGAGATTTCTCCAGATTCTCTCAATCATTTAATGTTATGTACTGTAGATGATGAAAGGCAGAAGTTCTTTGCTATTTTACATTGAGAAACATTATTCTTGAATTGTTGCACTATTTGCTCATGCAGTCTTTCACAGAGTGGTGAACCCCTCCTCATCTTTACTTCTGAAAGTCTCAGCCTCTCTGAGATGCTCTTTTTATACCCATTGATGTTACTGACTTGTTGCCAATCAACCACCAGGTGTTTTTTTTTTTTAGCATTGCACAACTTTACCTGCCTTTTGTTGCCCCCATCCCAATTTTTTTGGAACGTTTTGGCAAATTCAGAATGGGCATATACTTTTGAAAAACAATACAATTTCTCACTTTCAACATTGGATTTGTTGTCGTTGTGCTATGTTCAATCAAATATAAGGTTTAAATTACTTGCAAATCATTGCATTTTGTTTTTATTTACATTTTGCACAGCTTCCCAACTTTTTTGGAAATGGGGTTGTGCAAGAAAGACCACTCAGTAGCTCTGTAACAAACACAGTACCTCGCACTGGTCTAACCTAAAGCACAGGCATAAATACTAAACTGAACTAATCACATGACATACAAAACCAGGTGAAGCAACTCAATAATCAGGTCAGGCAGATCTCTGATACATGGATTAGTGTGAGGTAGCAGTCAAGTGTTCACTCAGAGGGTTCTGGGAAATGGAGTCCACCAGAGAACTTGGGTTGGATGAATGTGTGACAACATGTAGCTTCACTGGTTGTTTTGAATAGTAAATAAGATCACTAAATTTGTATTGTAGACATTGTGGCCCCTGGTTCCCATCACCACCACTGTAAAGAAATAAGAGTGGGAACGTTTCTCTACAATTAACCATTTTACCCCTTTACCCCTATGAATGACTTTGTTTACATTTCCCCTTTAAGCAGTGACAGAGGCAGGAACGGCTACAGCAGTCTGAAAAACTTGTGCTGTCCTGTGCATGCGCACATTTGACTTGCTTCCCGCCACTCTGGTCTGCTGTTTCACATTATTCTTTTGTGTTAAATTAGAATTTTAGTTATACTAGATAACAAATCCCTTTAGTGAATTCAGTGCACAATTTTCAGACCCTGGTCAATTTATGGTCAGTTATTTTTTTCCATTTTTTATGATGAAATGTCATCAGGTCCACAGTCATGACAGACTTGTCGCTTAATGACTTTGATTTCCATGATGACAGGGACCATTTGTCACCATCGCTGCACTATCATTGCTTAAAATCCCTGTTTTGGAATCATCTACAGCTCAATTCATCCTTTAGGACACATACAAACTATTCATTGTTTACTTCTTAACTTTCCTACAAATTAGTTGACAGTTGTGAAGTTGTAGTAGCATCTTAGTGCAGTTTTATGTTGTTAACAATGTGGATTCTGTTCTAAATGTATTGTTGCACTGTGGTAGGAACTATGCAGCGATTGAAAACATGCTGATCCATTTTACTGCCCAATGTGGACATGCATGCACGCCAACCCTCTGGAAAGAGGGGGGTGCAGATTTGAATTAGTTAAAGAGCAGAGAAAACATCTCTAATGTTTTGTTAATGACACATTAGGTTAGGTATGAAAGGGTTAACTATAGTGCCTTAAAAAAATTCTGAATTAGCCAGCTCTGCCGTCCTGCCGTATGGCAGGAGTTACTCAGCCTCCGGGGCAAATTGTGACACCACAATGTCAGTTTTCTTCCATTAATACAGTGCAAAAAAATAGCAGTACAGTGAACATGATGTTAAAAAATTGTGTGCAGCATCCATTTTCTCTGTTTCCCTGCTAGTATTTTTCAGATTTGTGAAAATTATGCGGGTGCAGTGTTAAATATTCATGGCATCCTGGTATAACACTATATGCTGAGACCTCAGGCTGTCTGTCACCAAAATAAACACAACACTGAATGATGGAGACAGTTAGCTAGTTAGGATCACTAGCTCTAAAAAATATGATTCAGAAACTCAGTGTGGATTCACAGTGCTTTCCAACAAGGCTACATTACAGCTGCTGGATTCAGTACTCAGACTAATGGGATAAGAAAGTTAATTTTCATAACATGATCTGTGGATTTGTCTGAAATGCTTTAATTCTGAAAATACAGCGATGTTTAAAATCTCTCTAAATGACACCCTTCTAATTAGAATTCAGCTACTTTAAGGTTCACTCATTGCTGACACAGGTGTTCAACTGCACATATGGAGCTAGAGGGGTTTTTAGCAAATCACAACAGCTACTTTTTAGTGCCAAAACAAGGTTTGAGGCACAGGTAAATCTGCCCCACAGTGTAATTATGCAGTTTATTATTATTTGTCCAGTAGTAATTTAAATGTTACTTACATTTAGTAAATTGTTAAACCAACCATCCTCCCCACCGCCCCATCCCCTGTGTATTAATATGACTTCTATATGATTAATATGATCAACAAGTCATGATCAGGGCCAAGCACACATGCACCTACAGGAGATGGACTAATGTAGAATTGCATGCTTTCACTTTTCATTATGCTGTGAAGTGTTTGGTACAGTGTGCACACCCGACATCTGGGTTGCCAGGTTTTGCCATTTTCCCAAACATGGCTTGGTTGATAAAATGTTATACATTCAGTTTCTGGTGGATGGTTTTCAGGCTAGAAGACTGTTACTGTACCTGGCAACCCTGTCCACTGTAGAGAATGTGGAAAAGTTGTTGGTTTGAAATGGTTATACTTTTGATTTTTTTTTTTTTGTTTGTTTGTTTGTTTGTTTCACAACCATATCCATGCCTGAACTAACCGGTTGAAAACTGAAACTGATTTTGTGTAAATTAATACGAAATTTTGAATGTTAAGTGCCTTCCTGATCAACCTGTGGTCAAAAAGTGACGATATTAAGTAAGATATTTAAGTCTTAATTTCTTAATACTTAATTTCTTACTATCTAAAAGGAAATGTAACATAAGACTGGTATGTCTGTAATTAAGTTTTATAACTGGACTAAAATGGGTGCTTAATGAGATCTTTCCTACTGTGATGTGAGGATGGCGTCGCCCATGAGTCAGAATAAAAGACACACAGACGTTTCCCCATTCGGCAGCAACATATCTGTGCTCAGGCCCACTGATGACTGCCAGGTAGTGTAGCACAGCTGGTGGGCTATTAGCCTTTGCTTCAGCTCTGCTCACTATGTGTGGTGACTCACTACCTGCATGCGGTGCCTTTCTGACAGCACTCAGTGTTTAACTGATTGTTTCACTGACTGTGTGTGTTGTGTCACTGTTTCACAGCCTCTCATGGGTTTCACTGTTTGTGTGATTTCCTGCTAAAGGGCAACGCCAATGAAATTACAAGTAATAATAATAATATAATAATAATAAAAATAATCTTTATTTATATAGCATTTTTCATGCCAGCGGCAGCTCAGTGTGCTTACAGACAGGTGATAAAGCTTAACAGTAGTAAATTATGAGTGCTAATTTGAAATCATTCTTAAAAGTGAGCACAGAGCTTGACTGTCTAGTAAAAGGTGGAATTGAGATCCACAGTTTAGAAGCAGAATAACTGAAATGTGTTCTGTATTTTATGGAAGGTGTTTGCAGGAGATCGGTACCTGCAGATCTAAGATCATGTGCTGGACCATAAACAGACATTCTGTAATGTAAGCAGGGGCTTTAAGGTCGTTTAGAGCCTTAAAAACTAGTAGCAGAACTTTTCTGTCAGTTGAAACTTTGTCATGTATAATTGTAGACAAGTCAGTGTTTATAAATATATATTTAGAAAAGGTTTTGAGTCAGTATTAGAATCAAGTCATGTGGCATAATGTTAGCATGTAGAGGCAGGGCAGTCATACAAGTATGCTTAAAACAATAATGCCAGATTACATTTATCAGGCTACCATATTTTCACAAGTAAATTTTTATACGTAAGTAAGACTAACTAACTTGCTAATGCTGGTTAGGTGCCAGTTTTTTTATTCCACCTAGTAGTTATAACTAGCTAGCTTAGATAGCTACCGAGCTAAAAAGCTGTTATTTCTACCATTTTATAGGTAATGTGAAGTTGCAAGTTGGGACCAGGTGCCGTTTTGTGAGGATTAACTGAGCAGCTAAATCTAACTAAACAGCATTTCAGTTTGAGTGTCCTGTTGAGGGTATTAGCAATGATTGAGAACTTGATATTTGCAATTGTATTCAAAACTCTCTCACTAGATAACCATTTAGGTTGGAAACTCACAAATGGAATGCAGTTGTTCACTTTTGCAGTCAGAAGAGATTTGGATTTCCATTCCAGTGAGTTTGTTCACCTGACTCTCTCTTCACTCGTGCCAAAGCTAATAAAACATGAGGCTTGTTTTTTTACAGAATCTGAGTATCGGTTTGATGGTATCTCATGAGTTTTGATGATTTCTGAACATTTACTTTAAAAATGTAGCTACCTGGCATAACTTTCAAGGTCAAAAATACCTCTTGGTTAACTAATTGATTAAATTCAGCCTTAGGGATTTCAAACATTTAAATTCATACATAGTGTATGCGCTACAAGGTCATTCCCAATCTGCATGCTTGTGAGAGGAGGTTGATCATTCGGATCTCTTCTCTTCTAACCGTAGATAGTCAACCTTAGATACTCCACCCATGTGTACATGGAGCATCTGATATCTAGTGCATGTCAAGCTGCTACCACTATCTGGATTTTATCAATTGCATTCTGATTATTTTCCATGGGTTTCTTTTGTTTGTAGGCCTGATTTAAAAATTCACTCCCCCTTATCTGACATGCTAATCTGTGATTTGGGAGTCATTTTACATGTCAGTCAAATGGCCTTTTCTTCCAGAGTAGGCGGTTCTTTTTGGTCACATTAAGTGACCAAATGCATCAGACCCCGGAGGACAGGCAGTTGTCCAGCTTGTAAGACTAGAAGAAGCTTAGCTAATATTATGGTTGTTCAGAAAGGATCATGATTAAGTCACTTTTCAGGAAAGTGGAGAGTGGAGGCATGTCCAATGTTCTGCTGCTCCTTTAGAGCATCCCTCGCTGCATATATTGTCTCGTATTTCACTGTCTGTGCATCTTGTTGACAGTCTTTCTGATTGATTGTGAAGTCTCGTTGATGGTTTCTCTGACTGGTGTCTCTGTGGCAGGTGGCGAGAAATGCAGCAGTAGCAGCAGAGGTGATGGGAGGGCATCCTCTCCTCTCTTTCATCTCCCGGCAGAGTTCTTCCACCCAACCACAGCCGTCCCCCAAGAGAGCCTGGCAGTGGGGGCAGCCCGGGCAGGACGAGCTGGCTCCAGGCTCACCTCACCAGCCTCTTGGGCCTCGCTCCGCTCCCCCGGGGCCAACAACAGGGCCGTGGGCCAACAGGTATGGTATGTTCGAGGTGAAGAGGTTTGATAGATACTTGAGCCATGACTCCCTAAAGCTATTTCATAGATCAGTGTTTCTTCAGGGTCCACCAGACAGACAATGACAGACACACACACCAGAACCAAGCCATTTAGAACAGCGATTACCTGGTGCAGCTGTTTTGGGAGCTACACTCTTAAAGTGCCGAAGAGAGTTCTTTGAAGGAAAGCCATAGTAGAACTCCTTTTGACTCCTTAAAGCATTGGTTCAAATCAGTCATCAGGAACCTCCAGACAGTCCATATTTTGCTCTATCTATATGTGTTGGGAGTGGGATCGAACAAAAATGTGGACTCTCAGGGGATCCCAGAGGACCGGTTTGAGAACCACTGCTAAAGAGCCATTTTTGTAAATACGATTCACAAAACTAAAGAACCTTTTTAAAGTTTAAAGATATGCCATGCAATGTAAAGGCTCAATAACAATTAATATTTGTTTAAAGAGCTACACGTTTAAGCCAAGAACCATTTAGAAACCTTTATTTTTGAGAGTAGCAAAATAGCAAAAACATGGACCATCTGGTGGCTGATTAAAAAACACTATCCTAGATCAGATTCCTAATGTTTTAAATCTGGTTGCTAACAAAATTGAATGTGCCACTTCTTCTCCAGGCCTAATAACTGACATCCAGTTTCTTTCTCTCATGCATCATCAGTGAGTTGCCTGAGTCACTTGGACTGCTTGTGGGTTATAATACAAGGCTACACTGAAGTCCTGAACCACTGTAATCTCCAAAAATTTGTGTGTACATTTGATAACAGTCCTGGTAATTGTATTTGCTGTATCTCCAGGAGTGTACTTGACCTTGATATTCATTTGTGTTACAAAAAATTACTTTTAATTTTAGACAACTAAGCCTAATTTGAGTGGGGCTGCTGTCATGTACATTATTTTTTTTGTAAATTTGTAGTTCTCCCTGTAACACCTTGGTATCTCCCCCTTCCAGCCCCCATCCCACAGTGTGTCCTCCCTGGCCATGGGCAGTTCTGAAGGCAGCCTACAAACTGCGCTGGAGGAAGGCCTAAGCTTTGGTGCATCACCTCCACGAGGCCTGACTTTACCCCCACCTCTGATCTGCCCTCTGCCAGAAAGCACCCTTCCCTCCCCGGGCCTCAGCCAGAGACTGCAACCTGCCCAAACTGGCTCCAGTCTGCAGGCCACTAGGGGGCACCAGAGAAGCCAGAGCAGCTGTGGCGGCAGCACCAGCCCCAGCTGCAACAGGCAGGACTCCATGGACCCTTCGGACGAGGATACGGACATAGGGATCGGTGGAGGATCAAGTCAGGCAGGCAACAGCGAGCATTTGTCGGAAACTCTCAGCAGCCTGTCACTAACCTCGCTCCTCACGCCTGGCTCGCTGGCGCCGCCGCTGGTTAAAAAGTGCAACAGCACCGGGAGCTTAGACCAAGGCAACCTTTCAGTGCGGAATAAAGACGGGCGGCAGTTTTACGGCATGGACCAACATCAGTATCTCTCTAACCCTTGGACGGAAGAGAGAGGTGGAGGGGGAGGGGAGAAAGGGATGACGGGACTGAGGTTAAAAAGTTCCAGCCAAACGATGGACGCTGGTTCTCGCAAGAACAGATGAAACGTGCCCCTTGTTTTGTTGTCGTCTCGCTTGCGTTGCTCTCCAGAGCGAGAGAGATGCCTGATCTGTTCTGTGAACTCCCCCCTCTCTCAGTCTTTCATTCATAACACATGCGTGTTTTGTGTAGCCTTGACGAACAGGTGAAGCTCACCAGAACGAGAGGACAGGAAGCCGATGAGGAGCAGAAACAGCAGCATGTTTCATTTGAGGCATCCTAGAGGATCTTGGCATACGCTGTCAATGCAGAAGCATCGCAGTATAATGGTATAAATCTTCTTCGGGTGTAAGGAAAGGCCAAAAATGGAGTGAAATCTTCCAAAAATAGTGCACATGAACTAATCCTGTGTAGGTGAATGAAATTTGGATGTGTGGGAGTTGTTCTCAAGGTTGTTTTTTTTTCCATGAAATTCAGCCTGCCTTGATCTTCTACATGCAAAAAGGTGACATTTCAGGAAAGAAGCTTTGGGGTGACTCTTTTGATGTAGGACTTTTTGATGTAAGACGACTGCGGTTTCATCCACAGATAAGGTAGCGACGATCAAACTTTTGACTTAGCAACCTCCCTTAGTAAATCAAAGAAGAACGGTGATAGGTTATTTTCTAAATGTGATCCTAAATATTAGATTTGTGTGCAGGTCTGTGTGAACTGTCTCCATATGGCAAGTTAGATATTCTTAAATTTAAAAGGAGGGCTAATTTAAAACAGTAATTTAGTAGCTAGATTTCTGGGGGGAAATATCTGGAAAATACAGTGAGTAACCAACTATAGAAGTGTTTGATTCTTGGCTGTTGACATGAAGATATATTCTGAAGGAGAAAGTAGCTCCAAAGAAATGTTGAAGAAATGAAAGAATTGGGAAAGCAACAGAACCAAGGACGTCTTCGCAGTTGTCCGGTTGTTTGGATGCCGCTCCAGCAGAGTTAAAGCAGCTTTCCATTTTGGGACACTGAGAGCTGATGTCGGAACATGGTGTTCTACCATAAAGATGTCAAAAATGAAGAACTTTACTCATTTATTTTTACAAGAGAAGTAGTAGAAATCTAATTTTCCTTATCCAAACGTTTCGTGTTGCAGCTCTGTTCATTTCTCACAACCATTTGCAGTTTTACACGCAACGCAAAATTGCTTGAAATATGCTCTGAAAGGAAGTAGGTGTCTACTTAGCTATGTAAAACCTAGTTTTTGCAGATTCTTTGGTTGAACAACTGACTACTGGAAGGTTTTGGAATTATTCAGGGGCCAGAACAAATGTCTTTCAGGAATTATGAAATGCTTATAATTCATACTGCATGTGACATTTATTTTTCTTACATAGCTGATCCTCGTATTAAGATGTAGCCTAGCTGCTCTGAGAATATTATTTTTGCATGATGTTATTACACTTCTTCTGTTTTTATTTGAGTCTTTTGTCATTATGCTCAAATGAAATCAAGGAATCATCATTACATCATTGCAAAATTCTTGACCTTAGGACAAAGTTAGCTGTCAAATAAATAAGATTGACTCAATCCCTCGATTGAACTTAATTCATGATGTTTCACTAAATGTCTTGTCTTTAAAAAGGCTCATCTGCGGCCTGCTGTGTGTGATCTTCGCTGACCTCGGCGCAGTGGTTCGTTTGAGCAGTTGTCAGACACGGGATGTAATGGCCCTTCAGGGATTTTTCTAGAATAGCCAGCATTCTGTGCAGTTTCAGCAGCTGCCCTCTTAGAAAACCTCAAAGTAGTCAAAGTACCAAACTTGGATGATTAAGTTTAGCAACGGGGCAGAAAGCCGTGAGAGATAACTGCCTGTGAATTACAATGCCCTAAGAGAAGGTTATTTGAGGTTCGCACATTAGTGCTAAAAGATTAAACGTCATTCTTAAGTACTCATATGCAGTTTTGGGAATTTGAGGTTCAACAGAAGTCAGTAGGGGTTATACCTTAATACACCTAACACAGTTTGTGAACAGATTTGCAGTGCTTTATACCAGGATGTATACAGAGTCAAGGGTTATCATATAGGTCCATTTTCCTCTCGTAAAAAAACCTGCTCATTACACTTCTTCTCCTACATGTAGCCTTTCATTATCAAGACATAAGAGATGACTTGATATAATGAATCTAAAGAATGTTTAATAAACAAAAGTTGGTTTAGTATTAACCCCTTCAACTCTAGAGGTATGATTACTATACTGAGGCCACAAATTACTACACTGAAGTCAAAATTTACTACATTGATGCCACAGATTACCATACTGAAGCCACAATTTCTGTCTGGAGGCCATGGATTACTGTATTGAAGCCACAGTTTACTATATTGAGGTTAGGAATTACTACATTATGACCACAATTTGCTATATTGAGGTTAAAAACTACTATATTGAGGCCACAGTTTATATAGTAAGTTTTTATAATAGTCACAGATTATATAACAAATTGTGACCTCTATATCGAGGTCAGAATTTACTATATTGAGGCCACAAATTACTATATTGTGACCCCAATTTACTATATTAAGGTCACAAATCACCATATTGAAGCCACAACTTACTATATTGAGGCCACAATTTACTATGCCGACATCTCAAATTACTATACTGAGGCCACATATTACTATATTGAGGTCACGAATTACTATATTGAGGCCAAATATTGAAGCCACAATTACAATTTTGATTATTTTTGACTATATTGAAGTCACGATTGACTATATTGAGGTCACACTTTGCTATACTGATGTCACAGATTCTTATATTGATGCCACAATGTACTATATTGAGGCCACAATTTACTATATTGATACCACAGATTGCCATACTGAAGCCACAATTACAATTTTGATTCCACAATTTACTATACTGTCACCACAATTTACTATGCTGAGGCCATGAGTTACTATATTGAGTACACAATTTATCATATTGATGCCACAGATTACTATATTGAAGCCACAAATTACTCAGTTGAGGCCACAATTTACTATATTGACACCACAAATTACTATACTGAGTACATAAAGTACTATAGTAATGCCACAAATTAGTATATTCAAGCCTTGAGTTACTATACTGAGATGACAAGTTATAAGAAATTTAACTTGTGGCCTCAAAATAGTAGTTCATGGCCTCAACATATTAATTTGTGGCATCAATAAAGTCATTTATATCCTTAGTATATTAATTTGTGACCTCAATGTAGCAATTCATGGCCCCAATTTATTAATTCATGGCCACACCTTATTACAGATATTCACCTTGTCACCTTCGGGACTTCGTACAATTCAAAGTGGACTGCTGTTACCAGTGGAGATAAGTTTAAAAGGTAATTCACCCTGGACTTATTACATTGTGGACTTCTAAGAACTACAGACATTATTGATTAAGATCATTGATCTTGTCAGTAATGGCTCAACTTACACCCTCCCAGGTAAAATTAATCCAGCTCCAATATGGTTATTATCAGTAACTGTAATGAGTTGCACTACTTTGTTACAAGAAAAAGTAATCAGATTACTGTAACTCATTATTTTGTACCATGTTACCCTTAAAACTGATAACTATCATTAATTACTCAGCTTCTGTTAAGATAATTTGTAGTTATGAGACATGAGTAGTTATGTGGGCTCATATATGGGTTAATTAGACTTCAAGAGGTTAATATCTACTATTTATTTGAACTGGCCTTCTGTTGTTTTGTATTCTCTTTCTCCTAAAGCTTGTTTATCCCCATACACCATGCTGAACGAATGTAAGCCCCGTCTCTGTTGGACACTCACTCTATAAAGCTGTGTGCAGGTGTACCACGCTAATGACACCTGTGACCAATCGGCAAAAGCGGCACCTGTGGATCCTCACCGTCTGGCCTGGTCCACGCTGCTTGAGCCTGCGCCCACTACCGCTGAGCTCTTCACCGACGGCCGAGCGCTATCAGCTCTGACAGAGCGGATTCAAAGGGCACATGTCGAGCCCACGCGTCATCAGGGGGAAACAAAGCGCTGTGTTAGCCAGAAAGAGGAGCACGGTGCTTTTGATAGCATTAGCAGTGCTGCAGTTAGCCTGCCCAGCAGGTGCTCCCCAGCTGCTAAGAGTCATGATGCCTGTCTGTGTGTGTCAGCGGACATCTGTCCAGTGCTGAGGAGCCACTCCAGCTTTGAAGTGCTTGCTGGGGGGGCGTCCTGGTTTGCTCTTTACACCTGGATGCATGTTGCTACAAATTAGATGCCTCTTGCGCTACAGAACATCTCTGTAGGGTAAACATGTCACAGTCACTGTTGGACTCTGGGAGATAGCGGTCAGTCTTGCTGCTTTGATCTATTAGCCACTTGCAAAGAAATAGCTATGAATTTGCATTCAGATGTTTTGTATTGGGAAACATTTAGCCTGACCAACTTTGGTATCTTCAAAATTTGGTATCTTTGGTATGAACAAGATGGATACAGTGGTGCCTAAATTTGATACATTTTTCAATACATTAATAAGGCATGCCTGAAAATGTGCCCTTAAGTTAATACTCTAACAAAAAGAAACATAGTAATACTATCAGAAACTAATATTTCTGTAGTGGTGTATAAAGAAAAATATATAGAAAAATAGAAAATCTCCAACATAGTATCTTTACAGAAAAAGTTTCATGCAAGTTACTGCAAAGAGATTTTATCCCAAGCATTTGTGCATCATTTCTATTGGTCCATTCATCATGACATGTTCACGATGTGAAAGGCAGCTACTGTGGTTCAAATCATGTAGAAAAATAAACACAAAAATTGGAGATATTTGTTCATTTTTTGGACAGTGGTGATATACTTACTTAGTAGTATCCTGTAGTAAACTATAGTCTCTGTCCTATTTATGGTAAGAACTTTAGTATTACTATAGATTTTTTTCCACAAGGCTATGTTTATGTGTTAGCATTTCCATTTTCAGTTTATTAGAGTGTTCAACATTATAAAAGTGCAGTATTGGAAACTTTAGAATGGCACGGTAGAGTTCTGTCTGATCCATTTAGATTCTTTTCCAAGAAACACAGAAACACCAAATAAACTGTGCTTTGTACTGCAAACAAAATCTAATGTGGTGTGAGGAAAAAAAAAAACAGCACAAACAGGAAAATCTCAGCTTAACCAGTGTGTAACCAATGTAAATCAATTTGAGGAGTCTTGTTTCGAACTACACAAATGATCATGCTTTATTGTTACATCCCTAATATTTTTCTTTAAAAAATTATGTGTGATGCTTCCAACAGTTACAGATGTAAATACTTGTCTATGGCTTAGAATGTGATGACTTTTTAGCTGCCTCTGAAACAATTTCTGAGCTTTGAGTATATTATTGTGCACCAGTGGATGGGAAAAATAATATTAACCAATAATATCATGTATCACTGATTGGGTCCACATTTATGTCAGTATTGTGGTACTGAAGTCCACTTACACGGTCATCAAATAAATGAAAGCAGTGCACGATTCAAGCCGCCATCTAATAAATGTAAAAACCATCAGTCTAGCAGTTACTAAATGTTAAACAGCGCTGGTAACTGGGACAAGGGGGTGGTTAGCATTAGCTTAGCTAGCATGCTACCAGCTCTTCTCACCACAGAACAATTTTGATTCTAACTAATATAAGCTGCAGTTTTAAATGAAAGTGACTCAAAGCTGAGGAAGTGAAGTCGAGCGACTGGTGTAGAAGAGACAGAAAGCTAAAACGAAGGCTGTTGTGTTTGGATCTATAGCCCAGGCTAATGCTACTGCCTCCTCTAACCTGCTCAGCTTATCTAGTGGCCTCAGATCCACACACCACAGTTTGATTCTGTCTGATTTGCTGTTACAAGTCATCCATGTGGAAAAATAAGGCTCTATCTGCATTTTGTGCAGTTTTGAGACATTGAGCTTCAAATATTTTGGATTCCAAATAGTAGAAGTGATATGTGGAATACGTCTCTTTTATACATGACAATGACAGACACCCTAAATGTACTCTAAATGTGCAATATCAAAATTCTATCAAATTTGTAAATGAGGTTTTTGGAAGAAGGCCAAAGGCAGATAGAACCTTCTAATCCTGAGAACTCAGGTTCTGCTTGGAATTATACAGTTCTACCTGACAAAACATGCAAAGAAGTGATGATTTTCAAGGAACACAAACAGTTTTTACTCGTGATTTGTTTTTAAAACGTAAGATTAGTGTTGTGACAGAGTGTCTACATTATCAGAAAGTTATATTTAATGCTTTCTATGACATTTTTATGGCAGTTATTTTATTATTTGTTTATTGTTTATAATGTTTGTTTCTCATTTTAGGATAAATCATCCTTTTCTTGTTCAAAAAAGCATTGCATTAAGTATAAAGGCCAGTGCTAAACATTTTGTCCAGCGTAGAGGTCAGTTTTAGGTAGGAACCATTAGTTTAAGTTTCCTTTAGGTTAGACAGAAACCAGCTACTGTAATAAACTGCCCCAGCAAGTAAATGTAGCAGGTCAGTCTTAAGGC